GGATATTGACCGTCAAATTTTTTTTTTAATAAATTATCAATTATTTATCATTTGAAAGATTCATATTTTATTGCTAACCAATTGATACATCAGTTTTTGTAAGAATTTAAATTTAAACAAGTGGATTATTAAAATAGGATTATGATTGCTATTTAAAGTATTTTTTATATTAAAATATTTTTTTATTTTTTTAAATTTATTTTTAAGATTAAAACATCAAAACACTAAAACATACAAAAAAAAATTAATATTAACAAAAAAATTATTTTTTAAAAAAACGAACGCCATACTTTCTTTTAATATTTATATCAAATCCCAAGCTTTTTCTTGAATCTTTATGGATAGAGATATATTTAATTTAATTTTACATCAATACCTAATTTCTTTCTTCTTCTTCTGTCAATTAAATCTCAAAAACTATGAAGGATCATAAATATATTTGGATAATTTAATTTACAGTCGTTAGCCTTTCCAACTTGTTTTATATTCTGCATTATTATTTTCAAACAGGCAAATTATTAATTAAAAACCAATTTTTAATTTATTTAAATAAATATATTTTGATACAATATAATATCTTTATCCGTCGGAGAACACACAAGATTCCATAAACTAGGAATCGAAAGGACAGCAAAAAAAGTTTTAGATAAGAAAAACAAATCAGCAAATGTAAAACCACGGGCGCTGGAAAACAAGCTTATTTATTTATTTATTTATTTTATGAAGGGACAATAATAAAATTTTAGAGGATATTGGAACACCCATCCATCCACTACTATGCATCAGGATAAGGCTAGACTAAAAAGAAACTCTTCTCTCCTCACTTCGTTGACAACTCCCTCGCGTAGCTCTTAAAGTTGACATGGCTAAGATGCCAAATCTCATATATATATATATATATAGCTGAAATCAAACCCCACCCCACCCCATCACGCATGCTCTTTTTTTTTTTTTTTTAATTCAATCCAAATCTCTCTAACTAAGCACAGATAAAACGGGTAAAACCTCAAAATCTCTAAACAGACAGACGCACAACAAAAGGGATTTGGTTTTTCTTGTCTATAGGCATGTCAATAGCAGTAGATAGTACTTGTAATATAGATATGGATTCCACGGGATTTCCACGCGGAAGATTAGGGTGTGTTGTGACGTCCTCGGTTTTTGAGTCTCCGGTCGGGAGGAGGGAGGAGATGGCGGAGGAGTGTAGTCCGTCGTCTTTGACGACATCTTCTAAGTCGTCGATCGGAAAAGACAGTGATCTGTCGGGCGGTGGAGAAGATGGGTTGGATGAAAATGAGGTGCAAAGTGCATTTAAAGGGGCCCTTGATTCTATGGACGGATTAGAGGAGGTTTTGCCTATCAGGTAAATAATTTCATAAACAAATCTTTAATGGGCTCCTTCTAGTTTTTTCTTTGTAGTTTGGGATAAATCAGTGATCTATTTTGTTCAACTTAATTAATTATTTGTATTTAATACTGAATTTGATGGGAACCTGATATTACTTTAGTTAATTAAGTGTTGCTTTCATCGAAGGGGGTCTTTAGAAGTGGAAATTTGAGTGGATTTGATTTTGTTGTTTTTGGGTTCTGGGCATGGGCATGAGCTTTTGATTAACTGGGGGATATGGGCATCTAGTTATTTTCTTATGGATTTGATTTGGCCGAGGAAGCAAGCAAATCTCAATCTCTGCTACCGTCAGTCTTCATCTGGATCATAAATAAGACCCATTAAGATACGAGCAGGGCAAGTGTGTTCTTCTTATTACTGTCCCCCCGTTGTTTTTGGGTTCTGGGCATGGGCATGAGCTTTTGATTAACTGGGGGATATGGGCATCTAGTTATTTTCTTATGGATTTGATATTCTTTCAAGTTTTGAATTATAAATTGCTTGCAAGTTATGATTAGAGGAACTTATTTATTCAGAGTGGCATCTTATGATTCGAGAATATAGCACAGACAATAATTGGGTATTTCATAAACTGATCGGCACCTGCCTGCTCTTTTCTTTTTTTCTTGATGAGCTTTTCTTGTTTTGGATGCTTTTTAGCATATTGAACACTGGAAAAATTGTGTTGTTTGCTTCATTTTTTACTGATGATGGAGAAATGTTTGCAGGAGAGGTATATCAAAGTTTTATGATGGTAAATCCAAGTCTTTCACAATTCTGTCCGATGCATCCTCTTCTCCCTCCATTAAAGACATTGCTAAACCAGAGAATGCTTTTACCAGGAAACGCAGAAATCTACTTGCTTTCAATCATTTTTGGGAGAAGAACAGGGGTTTCCCTCACCGAATTGGGATATCAAAGAGACCTATTAGCTCTAGCAAAAGCACATTGGCTTTAGCAGTTGCCATGAGCAGTTCCGAAAGCATTAGCAGTGCTAGTGAGGATTCAAATTCAACTTCAACTTCAAAGTCTCCCCCACATCTTCCACCTCTACACCCAAGATCCAGGGCTTCTCATAACAATCTAGCCTCGTTGCCATCCCCACGACAAAGTTTTTCTCCCTGGCGGTCATTCTCCTTGGCTGATTTACAGCAATGTGGCACGATTAACTCATATTGTGAAAAAACTGATCATTGACTTGACACTTCCATCTTAACTTGTGCTGATGCGGAGACTATCAATGTTATGGGGATGTAGGGAAATGTTTTTTTTTTTTTTTGGGTTTTTCATGTTGCTTGCCCCTTTTTGTACGTGTTTCGAGTAAATGGAATGTCTAGAGGAATACACACATTCTCTCCTTCTGTTTTTATTTCCTCAAGCTATTACAATCATACGATGATAGTCTGAACCCGTGTGCCCACCTTGTCTCTCATTAAAAAAGAAAGGAACTACGAGCCGGCTTAAACCCAGATCAGTTGCTCCCATGTACCGCAGAATTCTCGAGGAAGATGCAGATGTAGCTTGGTCCCTTGGAGGGTTGGAGGACGCTCTGTAGCTTAGAACCCTGAAGGCGAAGAATCCATCAGCCAATCTAGAATCAAACACCGTCCATAGATTCTGCAGATGAAGCAGCACAAATGCTTGAGCTCCAGATTTTTCTAGTTTTAACGCCTATTCCAAATAATTTAGCGAATATAACCGCGTGGAAAAGGTTTAAAGGTTACAACACCTAGATGATATTTTCAAAGTAATGTTTTTTAAAAATATATTAAAACAATATTATATTTATATTAAAACGATTTAAAAATATAAAATACTAACTTTAAATAAAATAAAAAAATAAAAAAATAAAAAAACATAGTTAGAAAAACATTCCTAAACGGCTCCTCAGGTAAGAGGGAAAATATTTTTTAAACAATTATAGTGGATGAAATAATTACTAATATTTTATTAGTTATTTATTTTATCTATTTTTTTAAAATAAATTTTAATAGTTAACTAATAAAATATCAATATTTATTATATAAGCACAATAATGGATATGCATCCATAAGAGTAATATTATATTGTTAATTGAACTTCGTGCGATGGACAGCGAAAGTCAGAGGTAGAAATGAAGATGACTCATTGTGCTGATGTTTTCTTGTCGGGATATATTGCCTAGCTAGGACTCCGATAAGATCAATGTGAAAGTCAAAATCTGTTGAAAGAATACCTAAAAAGATAAACATGATCTGAAGTGTTGCTAAGAATTAATGTGATCAACTGCAAAATTTGTATGCGAAGACAAAGTCTTTAGGAATAAAATTTTGTTTTTATTTTCTAGATTTGTTGTTAGAATGTTGTTGTTCATGTAATTAGCAGATTTCGTTGCTTTCCTGTCAACCCAAAACTCTTATCTAAGAGAGTTATCCTATGAATAAAGAGTATAGCTCTTCTTTCTTGCACGTTTGAAGTCTTCTCTTCTCATTTTGTTCTTAGCTACATCAACAATTGGTATCCGAGTAGATTTCTCGAGGAACTTGTGAGTTAAGAGTGCTTGTAAACACAAACCAAATCATAAATACAAAATAAAAAAACACCAAGCAATGAAAACTGAAGCAACCATCTCACATGTTTCACCACCAAATTTTGATGGTGTTAACTATGAAGCCTAGGCTATTAGAATGATAGTTCATCTTGAAGCATTAGATATATGGGAATCAGCTTTACATGCTGCTGGTCAAGCACAATATTTACAAGAATAATGAATCTAGAGTCTATAAAGGCCATTTAGAAATATCTTAAAAAGGAATACCAAGGCCATGAAAGAATAAAAAATATACAGGCGTTTTGATTAGAGAATTTGAAATATAGGAAATGAAAGAGATAGAAAAAATCATAAACTAAATGCCAAGTTGCTGAGCATAATGAATAAAGTGAGATTGCTTAGAAAATATTTTTCTAATTTTTTCATTAAAAGAGTCAAAAGACTTATCTAGTATATGATTGAGAGAATTGGTAAATATATGACAAGTGCATGAGCAAAAAAAATTGATGAGATAAGTGGAATCAGTGTAGGGGGCTTTTCAAGCAAGAGCACAAAATTTAAAAGGAGACATACAATAAAATCAACAACAACAAGAAAAAGATTGAAACTAATAAAAACAAAATGTAATTATATTCACTATGTCCATAGTGTGTGTATATATATATATAAACAAATCACCAAAAAAGTGATAATGGAGACCACAAAAAGTGTTTTTGCTTCTTTTCTCTTGATTTTCAATTAAAAAACAATTATTTGAATATTTTCAGTTTTTTTATTTTTAAATTTTAAATAAATTTAAATTTGAAAAAAAAAGATGGAGTTTGTGTTTACCTAGGACTTTGAAACTTTTATACAATAAATACAACCCTATACCATATATAATAGAGGGCAGATCAAAGATTTCTTGGGAGCAAATAAAAAACAAAACAAAACATATTGAAAAATTCTCCTCTTAAAAAAAAACCCTATTTTCATTTCCCCAACACGGTGCATAACCTTTCACTAATGTTAATCCTACCACAATCAAGCCTTAATTGTTTCCTTTCTTAGCCTCATTAATCTCCACCATAACCAAATCAATGATATCAAACCACTTACAACAACTTCTTTTTTGTTTTTCTAAAAAAAAAAACCTAATCAAACCATAACCCCTCTTTCTCTTTTAGTTTCTCACATTGTAGCCTCCCAACACCTCTCATAAGAACAAGTCTTATATCTCTCTCCATCACAACCTCAAAACTCGACAACCCCTTTCCTTATTGGATTGTGATCTTCTCCTTCGTGGACATGGGTAAGATAATAGCCATCTCCCTCACCTCGACGTGAGCTTCTCAATAGACCAACTGAGGCTGTCGCTCTACGTCTGTGATAATAACAATAATCAGTTTCTAAATCAATAGTTTCTCCTTCCAAGACAATGATGAGCAGCAGAAACCAGTTGATTAGTACTTAAAAGTGCATTTTTATCATGGTTTTATATAATCATTTTGCACTTGAAGTATCAATAACTCCTTAACTAAAGCATGTTTTATAATAATATATCTAATAATACTTAATACCTTTAATTTATGGTAAATGTTCATTTTAAATATAGGTCTCTCACATAAATGAAAGGATTGATTGATGAATTTAAGAACTAAAATT